CTACTGCTACTGCTACTGCTACTTCGTGTCTTTGATATGTTGGGGTCTGCTACAGCCGGGAAGTCCCATGCGAAATAGCGTCTGGGAGTGCCAAGAGCGTGTACTGGCGTTTCGCTTTTGGGCCAGTGGCACAAGTCATCCTGCTCTATGCGAAGCTGGGTTCTGGAGTAGCATACTTGAATACTTTTTTTGGGGACCTGTTCCTTAAGGCAACCATTATGAAATTCAAGTCTATACTTTTTCTCCCTGGCTACTTCAAAGCCCAGGAAGTCCATCCCATGGCATCCACCCGTTTTGTGTTTTGTGCACCGGCTGCGCCTGCTATTTTTCTGGACCGTAGCATTTGCAAACTGCAAACCCGCACAGCCAAACGAGAGCTGAGGCCAGAGCGTAAAGGGGGCAGAACTCCCTCTCGAGTTCGAGACCCCTAAACAAAAGATGGGAGCCTCCATGATGCATGGCATATGCTTTCAGCATGCCTTCACAAGCCGTAGAGCCGTAGACAATTCATGTTAATTCTGACACCCTGAACCCTAAACCCTACCGAAAGCCGAGCCGTACTTGCCTCGTAACTGCTAACTCGATCCCCAAGACGTCATCACATTGGTATGCCTTGGAAGGAGGTAAGGTGCTTCTACATCCCAAAAGAAACTCAACCCTGAGCCCTATAGCTCTTAAGAGTTTAGGGTTTTGGTTTTAGGGTTAAACCGTAAGCAGACCACTAGCTATTGACTGCTTCTTGGAGTTCACTAGAACGCTTGTGTAAAGCAAGCTGCACGGCAATGCGATGCCAGAGTGCCTTTCTGCTGGTAGTTGTCCTGATCCGATGTGCTTTCAGCCTGGAAGCCCCGTCGAATTTGGTGGTTGTCGGAGGCTTTCCAAAATGTGGCACTTCACACATCCACCGCGTTCTGGAAGCGCATCCGAACATTGCTTCCTTGGCAAAGCAAATCGGCGCGCTGCCCAACCTGCAAAAGGAATTTGAGGAATCAATCTTCGTTCTGGCACAGTCGCTGCAAGTTCCATCTGGTCTTCCCTTGGCACATGCTTGCAACCAGTTTAGCCACGAACTGCGCACCTTCAAAGAGTGTGGTCGTCTGGCGAGCATGATCAGGGGCTGGTACAATACGTCCATGCCGGCGACACTGGTCGTCACAGACATCTTCTTCTTTGAGAAGGAGGTTGGGCCCTAGTTGAAACACAAAACCAGTAGCTCAGTAGCTGCAAGCCCTGTCTAACTTTAAGCTCTACATAAAGATTCGAAACCCAAAACAACAACCGCACAAGCACACATGTGTGTATATATAAGTAGAGATATATACACATACATATATACCAATACAAATCTGCACATATAGAATCATACATCTCTCTGTATATATATATATATAATCATACACATATATAATCGTTTACATATGTATGTAGGTAGGTATATATGTATGCATGCATGCATGTATGTATTTACGTACGTGGGTACGTATGTATGTATGTATGTATGTATGTATGTATGTATGTATGTATGTCTGTATGTCTGTATGTCTGTATGTATGTATGTATGTATGTATGTATCTAAGTAAGTAGTTCAGTAAATTAAGTAAGTAAGTAAGTAAGTAAGTAAGTAAGTAAGTCAGTAAGTCAGTCAGTCAGTCAGTCAGTAAGTAAGTAAGTAAGTCAGTAAGTAAGTAAGTAAGTAAGTAAGTACATATGTATGTCTGTATGTACGTGTGTATGTATGGTTGTATGTGTGTTTGTTTGCTTGCTTGCTTGTTTTTTGTTTGTTTGTGTGTGTGTGTGTGGTTGTGCGTTTTGTTTGTTTGTTTGTTTGTTTGTTTGTTTGTTTGTGGTTGTTTGTGTTTGTTTGGGTTGTTTTGTTTGTTTTGTTTGTTTTGGTTGTGTTGTGTGTTGTGTTTGTTTTGTTTGTTTTGTTTGTTTGTTTAGAAAGTTAGTTAGTTAGTTAGTTAGTTAGCTAGTTAGTTAGTTAGTTAGTCAGTTAGTCAGTTAGCTAGTAAGTAAGTAAGTAAGTTAGTTAGTTAGTTAGTTAGTTAGTTAGTTAGTGCGTTAGTGAGTGAGTGTGTTTGTTTGTTTGTGCATTTGTTTGTGTGTATGCGTGTATGTGTATGTGTGTATGTGTATGTATATGTAGACGTACATTATATATATATATATATGCATATGCTTGTATACATACAGACATGTACATATGTGTGTAGCAAGCATGTATGTTCATATATATATATACACACTCATACGCGCTTTGCCCATGTATATGTATTGGTTCTACTAAAGTGATCCCTAGATGTCCCAAACTGACCCCTCATAGAACCCTTATGGATTCCCAGACAGGCCCTCGAGTTCCATTTCCATAGGAAAAGCATTTTAACATGCACCCTAAACCCTTTAACCCCTCCACCCCTAACCCACAACCCATAAAACCCGTGAGCCCGAAACCTAACCCCTCCAACCCCAAACCATAACCCGTTTTACCAGATGCTGGCAGCCCGTTGGCCGGGTCAAGTGAAGTTGGTCTTCGTGGTGCGCGAGCCAGCAGATTTTCTGTGGGCCGCTTACAACTTCTGGATACTGGCTTCTGGAGTCGAGTATGCGTTTTGTTGTTGTTTTTGTTGATTCGGTTCTTTGAGTTGAGTACGGCGTGGTATGATTTTCTGGTTGGCTTTCTGGCTTCTGGCGTTGACGGTGGCGTTTTCTTCTGGGTTTCTGCAGTTGTGCATCTTGTTTGGGGCTCTGAGGCTCTGGCTGGTTTCTGGATTGAGCTGTTTTTCTGGTCTCGAGCATTGTTTTAGGCGCTGAGCTCTGCGTCTCTTAACAAAAGCATCCAGAGGAACACTAAACCACCTAAATCCCAAGACCCTGTAGTGAACACAGATCGTAAAGTGTAACAGACTCAAACATCCCATAATATACTATGATAACTATAGTATCCTGTAACCCAATATACCATAGCAGAATATCCACCTGGAGCTCGCTCCCAGGGTGTTGGCCCTAAACCCTAAACCCTAAACTCTACTCGCTCCCAGGGTGTTGGCAGGGGAGCCGAAAAGCATCTACGATGATTGGACGGAGCACGGGCCCCTTGTTTAGGATTCAATGTTCAGGGTTTAGGGGTTTAGGGTTTAAGGGTTCAGGGTTTAGGTTTTGGAGTTTAAGGGTTTAGGGGTTTAGGGTTTAGGGTTTAGGGGTTTAGGGTTTACTAATTTAGGGGTTCGGGGTTTAGAGTTTAGGGTTTGGGGTCTGCCGTGGAAGCGCATAGGCGGCTGCATCTTGCGACAAGGTTGTGTGGATAGCATCGTACTGTGGCGATGAGCTGTGAAAGCCCGTCGATAGAAGGCTTTTCTTTTTTTCTCTTCAACCCTACAAATCAGAGAGCAGAGAGAGCAGAGAGGGCAGAGAGAGCAAAGAGGGCAGAGAGGGCAGAGAGGGCAGAGAGGGCAGAGAGGGCAGAGGCAGAGGGCAGTGGCAAAGAACGTGTTCCGGTTCTGGGTACGTGGGTGCTACGCTCCCCACGGCTATGGAGAGGTGGGTTGGCAGTTTCGATCGGTGGATGCGCCGCCCACAGTAGGCGGCCGGCCTTTGCCAGCTTAATACAGGGGTGGTTGTTGACGGTTGCATATTCCAGGGTTTTACAGTTTTACCCTAGCAAGCTGGAGATTTTGGGGTTTCAGGGGTGGGGGTAGAAGAAAAAAACCTGTAATTGTAGCTTCTGGTCTCTTTAGGGCTTGAGCTTAGGGTCTTTGGAGTTTGGAGTCTTCGGGTTTTAACGGTATGGCTTCGCGTTTCGACACCCACCTCAGGAAACATGTCCGTAGCCCTGAGCATTTCGACGAGCTGGTATTGGCAGACGGCAAGAATGAGGCTTGGGCGCCCAGGGCCAACAAGATTACTGGACGGTGGTTTCTTAGCGTTCTTCTGGTTGGCTCTTTAGACTTTAACTTTTTGGGTTTCTATATGAACTATAATATCTAGGCTAAAAGTGTAACTTTTAGGAGGGGTTCAGAAGTACGCCAAGGTTTGACCAGATCAAGTTTGTGAAGGATGTCGCCACAAACCTCCTGTTCTTGAAGTCTGAGGACGGCTCCATGATCTACCATAGTCTGGGTCTTGGTTTCCAGCTCTGTAGAGCTGCAGTTGGTGCTTTCCAGAGTTTCACACGGTTTCATGCGAAACCCAAAGTGTCAACCTTTTAAGCCCGCAGTTGTAACTTCCCCCCTCCCACGACTCTAAACCCCTAAACCTCTAAACCTAAACTCTAAAGCTGAAAACTCGAAGAGAACGCCCTAAACCCTAAACCCT